CCCGGCCCCCGCCCAGAGCCGTGGCTCCCGGCTGACCCCAGACCTGCCCCGAGGCCTGGCCAAGCGCAGCCTGGCGGGGCGGCTGCCCCAGGCTGGACGCTGCTCAGTCCTCCTGATAGGGGACGTGGAAGCCCAGGGTGGTCCCCAGGGGGAAGTGCGCGAAGAAGGTGCGGGCCATGTCCTGCAGCTGGGGGTAGGCGCCGAGCGTCTGGAAGTATTCCACGTAGTTCCAGAAGTCAGAGGTGGAGAAAGGCCAGTAGGGCATGGCCGGCAGCTGCGCGTAGGGGTCTGGAAGACACACAGCACCCACCTCAGTGCTGTCCCCACTGTCCTGCCCGGCGTCCGGTCCACGGAGGCCTCAGGGCAAGTGGATGGTGCCCAACTGCGCCTGCACTGATGGAACCTTCCGGCTCAGGGCCGAGGCCTGGGCTGTCCCTGAAATGGGTGGGGCGATGACCTAGGCCACTGGGGACACCTGACCTGGGGGACAAGGAAGAGGAGGAGGAGGGGAAGGACGGGCCCTGTTCTAGTCTGGAGGATCCTGAGCAGGCAGAGAGCCGGGGGTGGGGGCGCAGGGGCCCCGGCAGTCTCCTGGAGAGATTTCAAAGGCGAGCACAGCCCCCCGGTCCTAGAGTGCAGGTGAGGACGGCCCAGACGATTCTGGACTGAGTTAGGACCCAGGGCGGGAGGGCCTGGGGGCTGGAGCCCAGGTCTGAGGTGGGAATGTCCGGGGTGGGCAGGGGCCCGGCTGCCTGCTCAGGGTGTTCCCAGGTTGCTGGAGGGCGGGGCCCAGGCTCGGAGGCTCAGAGTCCTTGTGCCTGCGCAGCTCCGGGCTGGCCAAGGGCTAGCTATTGTGTGCTCAGGCCTGCGCTGAGCCCGGCTCTCCACACGTCTGCTTGGGAGAAGAAGCCACTGCCCTCCCTGCCACCTCTTCCTCCCCCGTCCCCCAGCCAGAGCACCGGTTACTGGCCCAAATGTAAGGAAAGAAGGCGGAGCACGGTACCTGCCTCCTCCTGCGCCGGCTTGGCCCCTGCAAGCGAAGAGAAGGCCCGTCACCCAGGCGACCCACGCTCCCGAGAAAGGCAGGGCGGGCAGCAGGCTGCCCCCAGGCCCGCCCCACACCCACTGCAGGGCTCGTGGCGGGGAGGACCCAGGAGGGCTGGTGGAGGTCACGCCTCACGGCCCTCACCTGCCAGAGGCCCCAGCAGGAGGCAGAAGACCAGCCCCGGCACCACACAGACGACGTGCATCTTCCCCAGGTGCGCCCAGTCAGCTCGCGCAGGTCCACCTGCAGCAGGAGGAAGAGCCCACCCACCCGTCGGGGCAGCTTCCTCCGCCGGCCCCAAAGTGGGCAGCACTTGGGCAAACAGTGCTGGTAGAAAGACAATTTCTTACTGTCTTCATAGCAATTTCAACGTCAGCGGTTTAGACCATCATTCGAAGGTGAAATCCCCGCCTCGGTCGGCCTGATTTAATTTTCACTATTTAAGAAATTGCGATCACCCGCCAACCCCATCTGAACCCCGGGGAGGTTACCTTGCGGCCTGTCCGCTCAGCCCAGCCGCAGCCTGGACGGGGTCTGCTGCCGGCTCCGGGCCTCTTTATACAAAAGGGCTGGAGACAGGCAGGAAGCGTCACCTGCCTGAACTGTCAGCCTGAATATTTCATCCCCCGCAGAGGACTGAGGGCCTCTGTAACCTGCTGGCACGCAGAGTCAGGGATCAGCTTTCGGGAATGTATCCAAAGATCAAAGGGAGAGAAAAACATCTTTGCACAGACCATTTCTAAAATTTTTAGGACTGAATTCAATGTCAGTACTTGAAATAAACCCAATTTCCTCTCCCCCAAGAAGAGACGTTCTGCATGATGTTGGGGCTGGCGGGGGTTTCCTCCCCCGTGGGAAGGGGCCGAAGAATCCAGAGCTGCCCCACCGAGGAGGAGACCCTCGCAAAGCCCCCCAGCCCGGGTCGGGGGGCTGCTGCCTCAGGGCACCTGTCGAGCAAAGTCACAGGCAGGAAGTGTGGGGTCAAGCTGAACTCGTGTCCTCAGACAGAACTTTCCTGCTTTTACTGAGCCCATGGTTGGGAGGGAGACAGTCCCAGCCCCCGGGACACCAGCAGCCGGCACCGAGGGTCTCTGCGGGTCGGGCCCCTCTCGTTACGCCACAGCCCACCGACCACGACGGTTCCGTGCGCCTCGTCTCTCGTCCCACTGGGTTCAGGCGCCTGTCCACACTGTTCCTGGCACTTAGGGCATTTCAAGGACACTGGAGCCTCCTCGCCCCTGTGTCCGCGGTTCCCCGCCTTCACCACGGCTGCCCCCTCGTCCCCACCCAGAGCGCTAAGGACTCACTTTCCCAGACAAGTGTCCTGCGTTTCACACGATGCCCAGGCAGGTACTGGACGCAGCTCGGGTGGTAAAGCAGCCACCTCCCGGGTGAGGCTTCGGGCTGCAGTTTCAGAACTCTGGGCCGCGGCTACGGGGGGAAATGGATTCTCTCGGGCGGTTGTGTCAGGGGCCGCGGGACCACCCCAGGCCGGAGACTCACTGCAGGGGCCGCAGGACCCAGGGCGCAGTGGCCCAGGGCTGAGACCCATCGGGACCAGCGCAGGGTCTGCCCAGGGCTGAGCCCAGCCGGCAGGGGACGCCGCCCAGCGGGCAGTCGGCAAGGACGGGGCGGGTCCCCTGGAAGGGACAAGATGCTGGCGCAGGACGGTTCTCGGACCCAGGCGACCCCAGGAGGGAGAGCGGGACTGAATCAGACGCCGGCGGGCCGGGCCGACTGGCTGGTCTCCGGCGCCCCCTGCCGCCCGGCGCGGAGCACTGCGGGAGCCAAGGGCCCGGCCACCTGTCTACAGGAGGCTGGGCCGGCACCTGAGCCGGCACCTGGGTCAGCACCTGCACCGTCTCCCCAACCCCATCACTCCGTCCTGTGTCCCTGGTCCTGGGAGGGGATGCCACCCTCCTGCCTGGCTGTGTTCTGGCCGCTTCCTCTCCGAGCCTGCCCTGGTGTGTCGTTCGAGTTCACCCAATGGGTTAGTGTCAGAGCCCAGAGTCCCCTGCAGGTGGCCACCCTGCTGTCCTCGCGGAGTCATGGGGATGTGACCCTAATGAACTTCACTTTGCCTGATGGCTCCTTGGCTGCCGTCCTGCCTCCATAAAGCCCGCAGCAGAGCCTGGATACCAAGGAGCAAGGTGAGGGACAGCCCACATGTTCTAATCATACTTGTTATTTTAATAAAAGAACTTAATTAAATCTCCTGAATTCTAATGAACATGAAAAGAAAAGGCTTTCGGGGAGAAAACGAGGCTGACTGGGAAAGTTCTGCTTAAGGTGAAAACTGCGAAAAACTGTCAACGTGGATGTTGTCGTGACAACTTTAGAGGACCGGAGCCAAGTGGTGTAAGCCAGCAGGACCCGACCCCAGGCTGCAGAGCGCAGGCCTCGAGGCTTCCTTCCAGGCCTCCGGGCGTGGCTCTCACGGGCCTCCCAGGTGCGGTTCATGACAGTACCTGGTCCAAGCACAGGCCCCGCCCATGTCGGGAGGCCGGCCGGCCAAGGATCGTTTGTGTGCATGAGAGCTGCAAAGTTTAAGGCCTGTATGTTTCTTCGTGTTTTACGATCTCGTTCCTTCCCTTACTGACCGTGAGGATTTCTGCCCGTGACAGGGCCTCTCCGGACACAAAGGGGAACCCAGCCTGGGGTACGGTGGGACCAAGACACTGGGGACCCCCGGGACCCCACCTGGCCGGAAAAAATGCAGGATGCTCAGCTAGATGTAAATTTCAGATAATCAATGACTACTTTTTAGTGTAAGCGTGTCCCAAATATTGCCAGGGATATATTTATACTAAAAGTTATTCCGTGTGTAACGGAAATGCCAGTTTAAGCTGTGTTCTCATCTGTTAAATCTGGCAGCCCAGTGCAGGACAGAGTCATGCGGCCCCACCTGGCCCGTGGCTCCCTGCCCAGGTCTGGCCAAGGGCCAAGGCTTCCGGCACATGCTGGCAGCAAGAAGGGGTTCCGGCCCTGACCACCCACATGGCCCCTGCCCTAGGGGCAGGGCAGGCAGCTCTCCAGGCTTGAAAGGGTCGTCTTTGAGATGCCACCCCCTGGAGCTATCAGGTCATTACACTGCACCAGCCACGGGCTGTAGCCCTGAGCTCCCCAGGAAACCAAGGCCCCTGGCCTGGGACACCCAGGCGAGGACTCAGGGCTGTCTGGAGCTGGCCTGGGCTGGGCTTGTCACAGAGCCAGAGGGGCAGGCAGAGCACTGTTGGCAGAGCCCCCTCCTCTGGGGCTCAGGGTTAGGGATGGGGACACAAACGGGCACTTGGGATCCCCAAGAGCAAAATGCGTGTCACACACCCCACACTGATGTGCCCTTGGTGACCTCCTTTTCTCCCTGCACTTGTGTCCCTTATGGAGAAAGACTCCCTGGGGGACAGCTGCGGAAGGGCTGGTGTCAGACACCATCGCCCGCCCAGCCACGGGACACCCACCCCTGCCCGCGCCCACACGGTGGCCCACCTGGCCCTCGCTGTCCCCTCCTGAAGCCACTGACACGGGTCCCAGTCGGGCCAGGACGCCTGGAGACACGGAGAGTCAGGGACCAAGTGGAGGTGCCCCAACCTGGTGACACGAGCCCCTGCTTGCGGGAAGGGGGGCTGGCCGAGGCCTGTCCTCGGGCTCCGACTCCCTGGCCCCCGCACCCGCTAGAGGCACACCCTGGGGAATCTGTTTAACGCTAACCCAGGCTTTCAGCCCCTCCTTTGGACCCCGAATTCCTGATCCCACCACGTTCCCAGAAGTACAGTGGGGAGAGGAGGGGCGGGGCGGGGCACGTGGTTTGGCCCTTTGCCGGGTTGGGGGTGTCCTGGATCTCTCCGGGTGGACTGCGGGGGTCCCAGGAAGCAGCAGGGGCCCTGGGGCCAGGCAGGAGCTGGGAACGCCTCCTCGGCCAGGAGGGGAGGTGGGCCCGTCCCGCCCACGGGGGCTGACACAGACCGATCGGGGGTGTTGTAAAGTCAGGGACCTCGGAGCTTCTGCTGTGCTGCTGCACGGAGGTGCACTACACGGTAAAGAGCCGTCTCAGAGCCCGACACACTGACTCTCTACCTGCGCCCCGCCCACCTCCACCTGGACCACGGTACAGGCCAACTCCAGCGCCCAGAGTTACCGCGTGCTAGGACCTCTGCTTTCACCAAAATAGCCACGCCCACACACAGCCCTTCCAGACCCTTCCCTCCAGTTTGGCCATCTGCATTTCTGCCTCCGGACGGACTTGTAGGCAGTCGGACACCCGGACTGAAGGAGACCTTCTCCACCCCTCCTCGTCCCCTTCCCCGGGAAGGAGGGCTGGGCCAGACCCCTGCTAAGGTCTTTCCAGGTTCTGATGATCTGGGGTTTGGGGAAACAGAAACCCTGGACGGGGGCCGAAGTGCACTGGCGCGCAGCCACCAGGAGAGGGCAGCCCTGCGCAGTCAGCGCACCGCACAGGTGTCAGGCTGGCAGGTGAGGCTGTGGGAGGGGCTGCGAGGCTCCCGCGGGGGGAGGCGCATCTGGGGGTGCGGAGAGTGTCCCCGCGTCCCTGCCAGAGGACCTCAGAGGCAGGTGCAGCTGCATCGCCCAGGTCCCTGTGCAGCTGCGGGAACCGTGCAGACTGTTCCACTTCGCAGACGGAAGCAGAGGCTCGGAGGAGTGGAAGGCCCTGTGGGGTGAGAACTCTGGGGGCCCCCAGCTATGTTGCTCTTCTGGGAGGTGCACCCTGCCCTCTGACCCAGCCCGCCCAGGCCCCTCCCCCTGGGGTCCCTCACTCCCCAAGGACATGTCGGGCTGTCTCCTGTTCAGGGTCTCGGGGTCCCCATTTCCTTGTGGGGTCTTTGCCAGCTTCTGGAGTGACAAGTGTCACCAGCAGGCAGGTGACAAGTGACCAGGCTCATCCCCGAGCAGGCTGCATCGCCCCTGCCCACCTAGGTGAGTGTCAGGAACGCAGAGGCAGCAGGATCCTTGGGCGGGGCCTTTTGGGAGGCACAGCCCCCCCACCTGCCGGTTCCTTCCCAGCTCTGCGTCTCCAGCCCAGGGCTGGTCTCGGGCCCTCTCGTCCAGAGAGGGCATCTTGGCTTCTGGCTCTGCCCCTCATTAGCTGTGGGACTGTGTGCAAGTCACTTCACACCTCAGTTTCCCCATCTGTAAAATGGGGTCACCAGGGCAGCAAAGGGGACTGAAGGGGAGGGTTCCCTGGCTCAC